GGGTTCTTCCTCCCAGCTGTTTTTCTACTTGGCACAAAAAAGCACATTGACCCATTTTTTTCATACTTCATACAACGTAACTGTTTGGCATTCTTTTTAAAGGACTCTACCCACACTAAACAGTCCTGTCACTGTGTGTTGATTATTCACATGCATAATCCTCCAGCAGTTTGCACGTCCTCCCTGTGTCTGCGTGGGTTCTCTCCGGCGACTCTGTTTGGCCAATTAAACACTCCCAATTGCCTCTGGGAGTGATTGTAAGTGTGTGTGATTGTTTGTCTTTGTGTGGCCGCGAATGGACTGGAGTCCTGTTCAGGTCGGTGAAGTTGTTGAAAAGGTTATGAGTCGGATGGCCAAAATACATAATGAATGTTATTTTACTTTGTGCTACTAAATCCCTATCGCTGGATTATTGGAAATGCATTTGAAAAGTATGTTGGTATACAAAATTATGTCTGCCTCTTTAAAGAGCTGAGCCAGAAATGACAATGGCATCAAGCTCCTACACATTGATGAGCTACAGTGTTGCAGGGCCTGACGTGCTTTAGCAGAAGATGATGAAATAAACTCTTGAGTTAAATACAATATTGGTATGTCACCCTTGAATAAGGTGTTATATTGCTTCTGACACCATTTAAATAATTCACACACAAATGTAATTTCTCTTATGCTTTGGGTAACATCCATCATAATGTCAGCACCACCCTTGCTTTCCACATCACTCAATAATTTCTGCCCAGTGAAACAGCTTCTGGTTACTCCAATAATTCATCTTGTTCATTCTGGCCTTGAAGAGATTTCTTCATTCAATTCCAATGCAAGAAACGGGGCACAAGTTCTCAGCTACAATGCTTTTTAAAGGTCAGGGGGAAATAATGTAAGGCCACAGCAACAAGAACTACAGAAAACTCAACTCAAATAGACAAGCTTATAAAGCTGAGTGTCCTCCAGTATAAAAATACATCCAGCAAAAGAAGCAGGGAAAATGCCAAAAGTATTGGAAAACTAGTTTCTATGTAACAAATGTCTAATTCTGATTCATGATATTTCCTATTATATGTGGCTAGACTGTGGAATACATTTTTGCACCAATGATGGAGTCTGTTAGAAGAAGGTGTCCTAAGAGCCTGGGTGAGGGCAGCTGGACTTCTTCTCAGTTCTTGAAAATATTTCACCTCTTATCTGAAACTTTTCTTCAGTTCTAAACTGCATTGAGGAGAGTATCATCTTATAAGCAGAGAGGGTTTTGGTCAGAACCACTCGGTCATTCTCACAGTGTAATTTCCCAAAGAACCAAGAAGTCCAGTTACCTTTACTCAAGCTCTTAGGATAGCCATGACCGGTCTTAACACACGACACAAAACAAAACTGTGCTTACATATAAATTTGACATTTCGTTCTGCACACTTGGAGTTTGGAGTCACTGTTAAATTTACTGTTGCATAGTCGATTGACAATAAAGTTCACTTTGACTTTGAAATCAGCAGAATGAGTTGGAAGTAAGAGCATAAACCCTTATTTGGCTTTGTTACAATAACTAAAGGACATTTTTATGCTAATCTTTGGTGTAGTCATCTTTATAAATAGTGCTTTAAAAAATGTCAATAATATAAAAACAAAGCCAAACTTTTCCTCCAGTGTATTTATTAAACAACACTTACGTACAAATATATCAATCACAAGACATAAAATAGTACATCTCAACATGGTGTAAATGGCTTTGGGTGCATCTCATACAAATATCCAAACTCCACAATGATTATGTATTATCACGATTTCGAGTAAACATACGGTAGAAATTCAAGCATTTGTATTTGTTTTGAAATAAAAAGTGTAATTTTGATTGCTTGTGGTTGCTGTACTAAGTCATCCATTAATTTACACATTTTAACATGGTTTTGTTACAACTAAGGTCCAACGGCAGCTGTGTGGACCTGTTCATTTAGGCTTCAAAGCTGTCAGATTCAAAGTACAATCATGCAAATCCCTGAGAGGTTATCAACACTTCTTAAGCAGCCAGTCCTCGTCCCCTTGCCAAAGACAGTCCTGTGGTATTTTTTGGGGACTGTTATGAGAGGGGAAAAAAAGCCTTAATTTCTCAGGCCTGCCTCTGGTCATAGGCAGTCCCTGCACAGTGCCACCTGTCCTTTTCGGTAGTCCCGGCAGGGACAAAGGCGCTGGTATTTGGCGCTGGAGCCAGCGCAGCTGAACAGCAGCGGGTCCCGCTGGAGGCCACACTCGGCATGATCAGCTGAGAAGGCAGGGAAGAGGTGATTCATCTCTGACTCCAATCCCTCGCACTGGAGGTCCAGCCTGGGTGCAAACAGTGGAAGATGAGCACACATTTAACAACAAAGTAAGTAGAAAAATCCACTTGGACATTTAGTACTAATGTCAGCACAAAGGCCTCAGGGTATCGATGGTTATTCAACAAGTAATATACTCATTATTAATGCAACAGAGTTGGCTTTTAAACCTCTCGGAGGGAAGACTGATTGTAACCCCTGGAAAGAGTCAACCAGTGGCTTCTTCCTTAGTTTGTGCATTATTTTGCAACTGTAAGTGAAAATGAGATGTGAGGTTTTGAAAAAGTACTGTGAAAGAATGGGCTGTTTTCATGAGTTCAGTGACAAGCATTTTCACAACGTTTCCAATAGGGCATTACATTTCACAGAGACAGGGTAGATGCACACGAGAAATACGCGACACAAGAAAGTAAAGTTTCCACTCTGAATAAATTAGTATTATTTTACATTCAAGATTTGTCTGGTAAGTTTTCTATCTTTCACCATGAATATGTATGAATAAGTAGACATTATGTATGAAAGCATCAGTTTTAAGATAAAACTTTCAGATTTAAAAAAAATCTTTTTGAGTAGCTAGGGAATAGACCGTAAAGGCGGTGGAGAGAGTGGGAAAGGCATGCAGCAAAGCACCCTGGGATGGAGAGTAATCTGTGTCAGGGAGCTACACCCTCTGTTCATGGTCCGCTTAACCATTTGAGCTATGTAGGAGCAATGGGAGAAAAGGAACAAGTAAAAGGTACCAAGTGTGCTGGACCGATTGTTCTTATTTTAAATGATCCAAAAGAGAAGTTTCTTACTTGCTAAAGGCCTCCTTAATGTTGATGAAACGGTAAAAGGCAGGTTCACAGATCAGTCCTTCGCTCTGGCACGCCTCCACGCAAGACCGGCCCGGCTGAGATGTTAAGAGCCGCAATGCAGTGAGAGGAGGCCACGATGAGAAGGAGCTGGCGTTGGAAGCCCAGGATAAGATCCGGGAGTTAGGGAGGGGGATGAACGGGCTTCTGAGTGACTGCCGCGACAAGTTTGCTGGGGGGAAAGGAACCTCAGGAGAGCAAAAGTCCTGCAGGTGTGAAAATCAGTCATATTTTCAGTTTTGTATCCTCACAATGGAGCAGTGACACCTTCTTCATAAAGCTGAGCATGAAATACAGCTCAGAATAGCTCTGACACTATTAAAAACAAAACAGAAAAAACAATAAAACCAGTTTGTTGAATTTTTCTAAAAAAAGGACAAACAAACAAACTATGTTCGAGTGATTTGCTGACGACCAGTTACCTTCTATATTCTGTTTTCCGGACACTGGGATTACGCAAACGTGTTTATCAGACCTAACAACTCCACATCAGCTCTCTGGAAAATGATATGGATGCATAGACGTCGTCCAGTAACAAATACGATGTAGAGGTAGAATTTGGCTCTGGTGAGAGCCCTGATTAGATCCCCCTCCCCTTCCAGCTGGGGCTATTCATAAAATCCAGGTAATAACATTTCTGTGACATGTCCCTCTGGCCTCAAGACCAGTTTATTAAACAGGCTCCTTGTGCCCGCAGGCAATAACCAAGCTTCCAATCTCCCCACCTCTGCTGCACTTCCTCTCCTAAACACAAACAACATTCTTGATCTCTCTCTTGCTCGCTCATACACACATACACACATACACATACACACACACACACACACTTATGCATAGACAAAGGCAGACAAAGCTCATCAAGAAAAACAAAAACAAATAAAAAGCATCAAAGTGAAGAGTGCATGCCTGATGAACGGTTTAATTATGCACAACTGCTCTCCGTATTTCCCATTTGAATGCAGAGGTAGGAAATATATAAGATTCTTGAACCAAAATAAATCTTTTATGTGATTCTTTCCCCTCTTTATTGGTAATTGTTTTCCTTGCTGCTACTAAAGTTCTTCATATTCTGGATATCATTATCTGACTATCGCAACTTAAAAGCGGTTCTTCTTGGAGGCTGCGGTTGGTAGTAATCATAGCGGGAAAACCTCAAACTCTCCACACAGGAGGGAGGTGAAAATATGAGATTTCATTTTATTATATGCATTCGGATTCATTAGCAAGACCAGCACTTTCATTTATCTTTTCTTTCATCTATTAAATCCAAGACAGTTTTGGAACTTTTATCTACAAGTTTGGTAAATCGGAGCTTTAATGAACTGTATTCTCAATGTACACTGCACAGTCCTTGTGGGTTATTTGAATACATCAACTAACAACAAACACATAGTAAACAGACAAATAAAGTGAAAACCCGAATATAAATACGAAAGTGCAACTGAAAGCATTTAATTTGCTCTGTGGACTTTGGCAGCTATGGTATTTACTTCTTGCCACAAATGGGTTCAGAGACAGACTTAGACGTGTGCTTAGAGTGAAATGAATGAGACATTAAGTAGTGTTGTTGTACAGCAGGGACAGCCTATTAAGAAGAGGAAAACAGTTCATGCTCAGACCTCATTTTCTCAGAGCAAAAAGCACAAAAGCACAGCACAAAATCAAAAATGACAAACATTAGAATACAAAGAGAAAAGTGGGGACTAATTCAACATGGATAAGAATAAAAATAGAAACAGTTTAGAAATAATCATTTCAATTTTGTCATTTGTTTATACGTTTCTATTATTTTCTCCCATTTTCAATTTAATATATACGTTTCTGTATTTCTTTTATCATTATTTTACAGATTTAATCTTTATCGTAAAACTCCTGTCATTAGTTCCATTTACAGAGTAAGTGTTCTCATCCAAAAACACAGGTTTTATCAGATAAATCACAGAAAAAACTGAAAAACCTTCATTAACAGCTTTTCATTATTTATTAATCTGTGTTTGAAAATTCCTGAAAGGCTTAATCTTTGAGGCATTTTGAATATTTTACAGTAGAGTCCAACAAGAGACCAAGTCTTTTGGATATCAGTCAAATGGATGGTTTTGATAAACGCCATCTAATGCATTAAATGTGCTTTTCATTAAATATGCTTTTCTCAGATACATTTTCAGGGAAAAATAGGCCATCAGACTATTTAGCATAACAGGAACAGGGGGAGGAGCCCTGTCAGTGAACAGAGGAGAGTGGAAGTCATAGTGTGAGATAACAAGGATGATACTTTCAGACAGAAAGTGGAAAAAAAGAAGCTAAAATATGCGTGCAAAGTTAGAAAATAAAACTGGAAAAAGTTTAAAGCTGGGGAAGAGAAAGTTTAGAGCTGTGGAACAGAAAGTACGCTGGACCATCTGATTGGGAGTCTATCCTTGAACACACCAGGTGACAAGTCACAGTCAGAGTCAGTCACGGCTCAGACAGTGCTTTTTTCCACACGGGGAGAGATATGGAGGCTAACACAACGCTTTAACCTGAGGCTGTCAAATAATGCGGCAACATTTACGTCGCGACTGAAGTTTCAAAGGACGACATCAATATGAAAACATGATGCATGTAGATGAGGAGGTTTTTTTCCTTTTTAGCTCACTTTCTGTCGTGCTATTTCCGCACCAGGAATACTAATTACAGCAGAGCAGCTTTCTGTCACTAATGAAGTCCTATTTTTAATGCGAGCAAAAGAGATCTGACTTTTGCATGTTATAAGAAGAAGCATGGGTAGACATAATAGAAATCATACTATATAAATTGTGCCGCTTTGGAGAGGACGCCATTTATTTATTGAAGTATATTCTACATGACAAAGTTGACTAAAGGTTGCACCATGTGTCAGCAATATCAACTCTTGCTTTACAGTGCACCTTTTAGGAAAATTATTAGACTTTGGAGCTTGAATTTGTTTGAGTATTCACTCAGGAATGATTTGCTCAGACACCCATCATCTGGGTGTCTGAGACAAGGTTTGATTTACTATTTTTAATATATTTCTGTCAGTCAAATTTGTTTTTGACTTTCAAAAAGTCTAACTTTGGTGTGACAAAACTTTTTTTCTGGTGAGGCCATCTTGTGAGATTTCACTTTTCAGGGCTGTGACTTAAGAGTTCAAATCGTTGGGATCCAAATTTATACAAAGAGCCCACACATTGTGAAAACACACAAACATGAGACAAAAGTGCTTTGTTTGTCTTCTATAGTAGTGCCCAATAAAGCTTTTAAAAAGTGTTTTTGGGGTAGGAAGGTGACTAATGGGAGACTTTTTCTATAGCACGATAAGCTAGCTGTTTGGCTTATTTTGCCATCTCAGTCTCCCTTTTGGTTCATTCATTCATGATGCTACTGAACCAGGCAGACAGCTTCCTTTCACTGACCGGTGAGAGGCTCATTCAACAAGCTGATGTTGACAGAGCCAAACAACGGTGATGGTGGGCATACACCGAAAATACAAGCGAGAAAAACATTCACTAATGCTTGAATGCTTTTTGTAAAGGGTCCCAAAGGGCTTTTCTGAAGACTCCACGGAGCTGATGAGGTACACCGTGTGGAAAGAAATAACAAAGGGCTTGAGAGGGAGGGTGAAGGGAGATGTCTCTTCTAAACTGTAAAACCTTCATTAGACTGGGGAAATGGCCTCGGCTGTCACCTATCTAACACTTATATTGCAGTCTTTACCCTTCTCCCCTGGCGGCTTCACAGCCATTTGCGCCTTGAATCATCTGACATCCCAAACTAGTAACAACCTCTGCTTTAGAAATTCAATCTAAATCCACTTATCACCACACAATTAACAAAAGCAAAAAGCAAAAATGCAACCAACAACTTAGGTGATAAGACTTCAGCTGGGGGCATGAGCAAATTAATGAGCTGAATATGCTGACTGACCCAAAACAGCCAACAAATGCATCAGTCCAAATAGGACCTGCGAAGACGGGAAATGCTTAGGAAACTATTAAATGAAAATAAAGAGGATGGCTCAGGAACAGAGATCCAATATACAACAGTTCAAGCCTTTCAGGAAAACCAATTGACTCCTGTTGACAAAAGAGCTGAACTTCCAATAAGCTCTCGCCTCGAGAGGCAAAATGCATAAACTCATCATTTGTACTCCCGGCTAGTGCTTTAACGTAAAACATAAAACTTAGTTTATTAATTAGACGTGTAGATATATATACTTTAAATGTGCATATACCACAAGAGCCGTAAAAAACGAAGATTGAGAAATGACCAGAAAAGCTCTGTTTAAATTCACTCATTATATATCACTCGAATTGTGTGTGTGACAGTTAACTTTAAATCTGGATCATTAAAAAGGCTTTCAACACTTTTCATCTTTCTTCCTTGGCCTGCGACAGTGGTTTTCATGAATATAGTGGTCAGGCAGAGCAGAGCAGCTCCGCAGGATGGTTCTGTCAAAGGCCAACCCACATAGAGTTCAAAATGAGAAAAGAAATGGCCTATTATGAGCTGGTTGCATGAAGGGTGCACATCAATCTTTTTGAAAAGCATTATTTGGGGATCTACTGGATGTTGAGGAAAAAAATTAAGAGATGGGTTCCCAATGTTGAAAACAAAACAAAAAAAATTAGTTCATTGTGTGTGAAACACAACGTCAATAAACTAAGCTCAAAACTCACATGCTATGAGCTATGCTTTTTTCTTTTGCTATAATTTAATAGGAGTTCATTAATCTTGTGAGGTTACTAAGAAGTGATTGCTTAAGTAATAAATGAATGCCCTGCAGTGGTATAATATTACCACAGATTTCGAAAGCTGATAAACATTAGAAAGGTGATAAAGGTAAAATTGAATCTTGGGACCAGTATGCCAGGAAGAAAGATAGTTTTTTGTCACAGGGTTAAAGAAGTCCACTTCTCCCAATGCCAAATTTGACCAATTAGAGTAAATTTTTTCCTGTTGGAGCAGAACATCCAGAGTGATAGTTGGGGTAATTCTGCTGGTAAACACACTGACAAATAGACAATTACGGACTTTTGCGTAGTTGGTTGAGTTATGATCATTGCCCAGTGATACCCACCTGATACTGAATGTAAGCATGAACTCTCTCAAGCATTCCCTCGCAGGTGTACTCGTACGGCAGGAAGGGCTCCACCTGTGAACACAGATGTGCACACAGATGAAGAAGTAAAAGAAGACAGTGTGTGTGAGCCTTTGACCGACGTAACGAAGCCTATGTAATTACAGGACCTAAGGAACTGATTTATCTAAGCTGACATATTCATTAACGTAATTGTGGAAGGCTTATATCATGCCACAAGTTTCCCATTAAAATCAATGACCTAATACATCACAGGTGACAGCGATGAAAATGGACTCAATCATTTTTTGCGACGACTGCGTCGATGCATCAAAAAATGGATTCCGCTGACAGCAAACGACAGGTCGTCCAGCAGAGAGAAGGACATCGGGGTGGAATTTGGGTCCTTCAAGTGTAACTATCAGTTTTAGTGTTGAAGCCTGTCAGTCTTGATCGGCAAAAAATGGCTCAACAGTCAATAAGAAAAGCAATGACCGATCACCACTTGTTTTTTTTTGTTTTGTTTTTCCGTATCATACAATGCAAGCAGGCTTAGACTGAGAGCAGGGGAGAAGTAGTTGTTATGGGAAAAGGACTGTATGCCTTCAGAGATAGGAACCTATTCATCACCACACTTTTATACTAATTGTGGTTTCATATCAATAGTAATTATGAGACATATTTTCAGACGGAATCCATTCTGCCGGGATCCCCAGTGCCGGCCCCCTCCTGAGAGATGTCCCATGATAGCTAAACTGAGAATTCACTGTTTACCATGGGGCCACGAAAGCACTCAGGTTTTTAAATTGATAAATGGTTCCTTTTAGTGTTGTGCTCCTTTCAGCACTCTCTTATTACTTTATTTCATCCGAGTTTAATGAAATGTATCTGGCATTTCATCAGCTATTCTGCAATGCAATTTGCCTTTTGGGCATCTTTACATAATAGAGTTTAAGTAAGAGAGAAAGAAAGAAAAAAAAGCATTGTTTCAGAGAGGGTGATCTGAATTCAGCAGCACAAAACATAGCTTGAATGATTGTACAATTTATCTACCAAACTGCCTGCCTTAATGTGCCTCAAAAATATCCGAGCGACATTTGCAATTCCATTCTGTAACTGATTACATACAGTTTTGTTGATGGAACATAGAGAATATCACGGAGAAGATAGATATTTTAGGAGGACTTCATAGAGAAGATTTTGCCGGTGAGAAATGGGCTGCAAATTTGTTAGTGAACAGGTAATTGAACAGAGTAAGAGAAAGTTTGGCTTAAAAAGTGATGAGATGGCATGTGTTCTCCAGAAGTAAACTCCTGGAATGTTACTTGCACCATAAGCTCTGCTTTACAAGATCTGATCAATATACGACTTTTTATCATTTATTTAACACTGGTCCTTATTAATACATAGAACTCGTACATAAGACAGTCACTTGAAGGAGAGTGTGAAACCCCTTTCAATTACTCAGAAAAGTACATTTTTGGGAATCTCAGCTAAAGGAAAGCATCATGTGGTTTGTACAATGCTTTAATGTGACCCAGCTCACTTTGTGATGATTTATTTCATTTTTAATAGATGAGGTCGCATTTACTTATTTTTTTGGACACTACAATTTTGCATTTTGATGTACAAACTTTATTGAGTGATGATTATCTACATATTTAAGTTACCCATTCAAACCTACTTTCATGTTGGTGAATTTACCTCAGAAATTCCATGTGCCACCAACAGTTTCACAGTTCAGTTCGACACCCAGAGGAGCAGGAGAGAACAGCTTGCCTGGCTCTGCCCAATGGCAGCACAGTCCAACCAACATCTCGCTTAAAGTTTATTAATCAACATGCTTGGCTAAAAAACTAAAATGTTAGAAAGCTCCTGTTGCTGGGCAACTGAAACTTGAGGACTTCACTTCTTCAGGCCAATAAATGGCCCAGTGTGTAGCCCCATTACGAAAAGCATGTAGAATATAAACACCATGTGACAGATGAGCCTGAAAAGTGTTAGTCTTCTAAGTCTTTGTGCAAGGCTAAACTGACAGATGCTGGTGGGAACTTCTTATTCATCACCCAGATGCTAACATTTACTGAAGACTGAATCCCACACAACAGCAAAATGAGATCTTTTATAAATGTTTAATTCGTTCAGCAGTTCTTATCTGTCGAGCAGAAATCAGGTCTACTGATTTTTAATGAGTGTAGTCACCTCATTCCTCACGGAAAAAAGATGACACACGTTCATCCAGTTATTTTTTTTTAAATAATCCCTCATTGGTTCTCCATTACGCTCAAAAGAACAACGTAGCTCAAGGGGTATGATGGGTCCCGTTTCACCAGGCTTTGGTTACACATTTAAGACATTTTTCTATGTCTTAACTGGTTTTTAATTACGCCTGTATCACCAGGAAGCACACGGTCCATGGGGCCCACCTGGCAGGTAGAGGCACACATGCATGTTGGAGCGACAGCAGCTTTGGCAGCAACTGTGTTGTTGTGGTGACATATTGAGAACACTGTGATTGATTAATACAAAGTGCTACAAACGGCGCTCGCTGCCTGAGGGGCTAGCCTCTGGAAAGCTGCCTTGTAAAACCAGGTGTGGGCACATTATACCTACTGAGCCACTCAATATCTCAAGCAATTAAGAGCGTGCGGAGCAGAGAGGATGCCAGCTAAGCATTTTGCTGTAATGTCAGCGCCCATGATTAAGGGCTCTATTAAAGGCTGCGGACTTCAAAAGTGGGTCAAATGCTCTCACCCATGCTAATATGCAGCAGTGTGCAGTTTAGCAGACTATGCCTTCACGAGAACCTTATTTAGTTGGATGAGAGGTGCTATATTCGGATGCAAACACCATAAGAAAAAAAAAACGTACATTGATCTCCATGATCTCACGGATGGCTGCTTCTAACTCCTCAGAGTTATTGAAGTTGATGGTGATGACGTGTGGCCTGCCAATATACTGTTCTGCATAGGGATGCTGAGAAGATACCTGGAGGAAGCATAAATACAGTATGATCACAATCAAGGTCTTTTCAAAACACTGAGATCAGAAAGATGAGAAAAAGGAAAGTTTCAGGGGATCTTATTTGCACTGCATAGATTTATCATGAATCCTAAAGCGAGCATGTACCTTCCTGGAGGTCGGCTTGCCTCTGAAGAACTCATGATTGAGGGAGCTGTGCGGGGGGTTAAACTTGGGCTGAAGAAATATGCAGCCATTAGCTATGGCCTCTAAGGGAGCAGGACCCTCATATGGGAAGCCAAATCCAATGAATAGCTTGCGAAAAAAAAGAGAAACAACAGCAGAATGTAAGTTTTTTCCCTGAGTTAATCTTATCCAGGTCAGCATATGCATAAGAAAGCGTACCGCTACACAAGCACTACCGCCACAATGCAGATCATTATGATAAAGAAATTGTCTATGCAAGCATGTGAACAGAAGCTCATTTAATAAAGACCCACCTTGGCTTTTCTGAGGAGCTGCTGCAGCTCCTGCTGAGGCAACAAGCCATGGTTTTTAACAAAGGCAGGGACCTCCGGGGGACGCTGGGTCTCAAAGTACACTGTCCCATGGATCTCCATGTAGCGATGCAGAACCGTCAGAAAGTTTTCTTTACCCTATAAGAAATATATGATGCATGCAGTTACCAGTAACTTCATAGCAGCTTTTATAAATTATTTTCATGCAAATATTACAGTAAAGATGGGGAAGTTTTTTTTTTTGTAATTTAAGCTTCAGTTTAGAATATTTTTATTGACCAGGCATAAATCAGCCACAAAATGAAATCAACTTAATTTTTTTTCAAATGCTCTTTTTGAAGAATTGAATGGAGAAAAAAAAAGTCTAGTTTTTTTTTTGTTGCTTCTCAAAATTTCACTTCAGATTTATTTTTGAAGAGAATGGAAATCGTTTTCTCACAGGTGTCCTTTTTGCTTAATAATAAAATGAAGGTAGCCGGCATTGCCCGAGCTTCTTGAGATTAATGTTAGAAAATGTCTTTGGGATAAGAAGCTGAATGGAGGCCCCTTCCACATTGAAATATATCTATACATTACATTTACACATTAGGTATTTAAGGTACCTTTATCTAATTTCCTGCATGCCGACTTTGATTTGTTTCCTATGTTTCAATTTCCTAATGTTAACCTTATAAACTGTAAATCACTTGACCCAGTTTGACCAATTAAAGTGCTGAACCTATTCGGCAACATAACACATGTAGCCTCTTTGAAAGGGCAAAGGTTTTGAAGACTGAAATGAGGCAAGCAGAATCAGATCTAATGAGCTGCAGCTATTCTCGCCCTTATAAATAGCAGCCATATAACTAATAACTTCATGGTACCTGTGGAACTGTCCTCTTTTTTTTTTTTTTTTTACAGGCTAGCAGAATGAAATAATTATATGCCCCATGTGTTGCCCTGCGGGGTATATTTGTTTGAAAAAATATTCAGAAAAAGAAAAACCTAAATCTGAATTAATTAGCTCAAGATGTGTTTTCTGGGAATGTTGCAAATTATTCAGTGAGCTATGTCTTCCAGGCATGAATCATTCACGTGTCATCAGGGTGCTTCTACTTGAGTTTTCCATTTTTAAATTATATTGGAAAAATATGATGATGAAATCTCTGTTTTGGGGACTAAATGTGATGGTAATCAGTCACAGCACCCAATTTACTCTTTTGCAAAGCTCAGTCATGGCTTGTGTTCTTGGAGAATCAATAAAACCAATGAATAGCAGGTGTACTTACTTGAAGCTGTGTGGATCCATCAAGACGCGATAAATAAAAAGAGATACGCATGGAAATTAGAAAGAGAAGTGTATCAAGAGACGCAGATATAAACATTTAATTTAAAAAAATTCTGATGGTAACCTTCACATTGGCTATAGATTCTGGTCTGACCCTCTCTTTTTGGAAAGCGCTTTGAGATAACTGTTGTTGTGATTTGGCGCCACATAGATAAAATTGAATTGAACTTTAACGACCTATCCAATCCCCTTCTGAACAGAAATGCAAGACAATGTGGTTCTGAATGGAGGGTTTATTCTCCAACACTATGGCTTCTATACAGAAACCTCTCACAAGCGCTACGCTGCACCTCAGGTTGCTGTGAGAAGCAAAGTGAGAACAAGGTCGCAGCAAGACTCAAGCAGAAACAAACCTTGAGGGATTCTGCAACACACTTCAAAGTTACACCAAGAGTGGGAAATCTTGGCAGACACTTGGATGGAACATTTACTCTGAACAAAAGCAATTGTTCTTTTAGCATCACACTTCCTGGAGGAAGCTGGCCTGTGAAATCCTGCGGGTGTTTCACAGCTAATAAAAGTGATTTTTAGAAGTTTTCCAAACTTTCCATACAAATTTAGAATAGCTTTTGCACATTTAGCTGTGTGGAAATGACTTCACCTTGGAAAACCATTGCACAAGAATTCAGCGAAATTATACATAGCCTATACATTTCTGAACATACACAAAGAAGGTGACAGAAATAAGATACTTGTCAGAAAAGAGTATGAAATGTATAGACATGCTTTGATGTTATACTTACTTTCCACATGCTGGCATCTTTTCCATAGACAACGGCCATATTGTGGACCTTGTTCCTCTGAATATGGAGTCTCTCGGTCTCATTCAGCTCCTCTGCCACAAAACCCATAAAAGAGTTGTCTGGAGTGTGGGCTGCCAAGGACAAGAATTGGCAAAACAGTGTTCAAAATCCATTTAATATGTATGTATGTATGTATGTATATGTAAAGAGATGCCAAAAAAAGGAAGAACATGACAGCTGTGCATGCAGATCATATTTAATAATAGGAACATCGTGGTAATTCCAAAAAAGCTTAATATCTAAGTGTCTTTTTCTTCAAGGTCGAGATGAGTATCTTATTGTTTTTTATGTTCTGATATTTAGAAATGCAACCACAAAGAACAGAGGATGAGATTTGCGGTTATTTGCCGTAACGCACCTTGTGTTCAAGTTTTCAGGAAATGAAACGGCTCTAAATTCTTGCGCACACAAAGAAAATCTATCATAGCACAGATCTGTGAAGTGTGGGAATGGAACGAAACAATGTTTTCAATCAGATTCCAGACCTTGGATAAAAGCTGGCGTCTATCAGGGACAGGCTTTGTGATAACAGTGTTGTGGAAACAGGGTGGAAACCCATTGTCGCTGAATTAATTGGAGACTAGTACAAACATCTGAAGGCTCATCTTCCACTGCTTTCACTGAATCTTTCATGAGTGTGTGTGTGCCTGGTGCTTATGTTTTTTGTGTATTTCTGTGTGTGCACGGCTTATGGTGTTTGGCTAGAAGTAGAAAGCTGCAGGCATCTGTGCTGGCACAGCTGTTCTCTGTGAGCTCTCCGACTGGTGGCTCAAAGCCTGGCCAGTCCCTGCCAGAGGCATTTTTAAACATACGCGGTGTGGTTTTGAGATTTAAGTCGTAAGAGCCAACATAAAATCCGCTCCACAAACAGGTATCGAAACGACCCCTTGATTTTGTGTTCATCTGCAAAATCTGGCCAAAACTGATATTTGGGTTGACAGCTTCCATGAAGAGGCGTTCTGTTACATCCTCAGCCTCAGTTAGGACAAAGCCGACATGTCTGCTTGAAACTCGCAATGAGAGTCCACCTACGGAACATTGTCATGTACTGCTGGCCGTGAAGGTTCCAGTAACCCCAGTTGGTCCTGTAGCCATGAAGAGTCGCATATTCCTCGTGGTTGTAGGCAGGCTCCGTGCCAAAGGTGTCAATCACTCGAATGTGGCACCTGGGTCAAAATAAGAAATGGATCAAGCAAGAATAGCAAATAAATAGAGCCTTGTCATCTAAGATTCATCCCTTGAAGGTGTGCCATAGCCAGAACAGCTACCTCTACCGCATCAGACTGAGAAGAAATAAGCATAAAACTACATAAAGTCAAACATAAAAATGCTCGCTGAAAATAGATCTAAAAGGCGCCCATCTGTGAGTTTCCCAGGGTGGACTGAAAACATAACAATCTTGGATATCGAGAAGCCAACATCTCAGAGAAATCAAAGAACATTTGGTATGGAACATCCAGCAATCAATAAGAAGTACGAAAGAAGCCTTATCAGCATTTAACCAGTTGTAAATATTCATAGTGAAAGTGTAAAAAAAAAAAAGAAGAAGTTAATCAATGAGATCTAATCTGAGAATGTTTATCAAAGCAGTGCATGTGTAATCAGTATCAGGGCTGTGGAGGAAAGTATTGGCCTGTCACTCACTGCCAGCGAATGGCGGTCGATGGGCTGACCTCACGCTACTGCTGAGTGGAATCAGCCCAGGACTTTTCCGCAGTCATGTTTTACAATTTTCAAAGCAGAAGAAGAATCAGGATGAAATATGGCGAAAATCGACCACTTGCTTCTCAGTTATTTAATAAATGAGGCGTTGTTTAATCTTAATGCATCTGGAGCAAAATATGGGATTAAAACAAGCTGCACAAAAAGCCATATTAGTAATATAGCCACTATATTACTGTCCAGATGATCGTTATTTTCTTGACTGCCACGACTTAAATGTTTTTCATACTCTATATATATATTCACTGGCAAGAGTTGCCTGGCGGCTTTGTCCTTTTCCTCTAGATTAAAAAACAGAGGATTTGTTTCTCCTACTCTCCCCCGCTGGAACAGAGGGACAAAAGCTTCATCAGCGGCTGTTAATGTCAGCGCACAGACTCTGCAACTACATACACAGGTTAAAGCACTCCTATTGGTTTAAGCATTTGCAGATGAAATCTGTTTTTTCTTTTAAAAGAAAACGCTTGCACTTCTTCAACACATTCATTTTAGGCAAATGGACCCTGGCCTAGCCGCGTTCAAAGATTTTTTTGGTATTCTGCAAAAATTGTGGATATCTTTTGCCGGTGTCATCAGTCAGTGTGTGAAGAGGCCATTTCTGCTGACACAGCGATCCACACACTGATCCCCAGCTTTTGCCACAGACAGTGAACAAGACGGCCCAGAAATACAGAGAAGGAAACTTTATACAATTGCAATACTTGAAGCTTTATGGCGCATATGAAACATCCACCCATCCGTCTGCTATGCCGCTCATTGCGAGATGGTTCGTGGGACGGAGAGAACAGATCACACTCACTTGTGCTTTCTCAGAGACAGACCCATGTGCTGCTTCATTTGCTGTAAGCCGTGGTAGTCGGTGTAGATGAGGTCAAAGGGCAAAGGTCCCGTCAGGGGGCAGCTTCCTCTTCCTGGAGGGACGCCCAGATACCTGCAAACAAGTTCAGATGTGATGTGAGAACGCACAAGGAAAATCGAAGCCTTCATGAAAGCAGAAGTACTTCTAGCAGAGCTGATCTGGGGCTACTTTGTGGTGACACAGTATAGTCAGACTACTGTTGTTTTCTTGTTTGAATTCACTTATGTGCATTACTTTCCATAACAGTATAATATAAATCATTTGCGGTCATTTATGCTGGAATATTTTATTTATTTCATTTTATTTTTTTGCCCAATCCACATGAAATTGAAAATAAAATATCCCAGAAAGTGCAGGTGAGCGGGACGGTTCAAAGTGTGTGTGCTAATGAGACCTGTCAGGGCATTTGGTGTGGTTGGGGGAGAGCTGAGGGAAAACACAGATCGAGCAAAATCGCATTGTGAAGCATGTCAGCGCACTCAGCAAAATGGCAGAGCTGTTCAACTTCACAATCCAGAATTCAGGGCTGTTGCCTCACAATGGGGAGTCACCCAATTTGTCTGTGTAACTTGTTTGGACTCACACTCAAACAGCACATATAAGCCAGACAGCAGGTTGTTTTACCCACCCCTTTCTACCGTGAGTTAGGGAGATATAAAGAGACGGTTTTCAAGCATTATGTTTGTAGAATCTGAATTTGATGTGATGCCAGCATACACACACACACCACAAACACACACACAATGTGATGCTGGCTTTGTGCGTGGCAGAAACAACGTTTCATGCCTGTGCTGTTCAATTTTACATGAAAAAATCTCAAACAATAATGAGCAACGGAGCCTTAATTTGTGCAGACTGTATTTACATTTCTGCTCTATGTTAAGCGCTTATCGTCTTCCGCGCTGGTTTTAAACAACCTCACTATCAAGAATATTCTGCCTGAAATAAATAAATGAGTCAGATGTAGATGAAACCACAGGGGAGCAGTCAGGAAAATGAGCCTTTACAAAACACATCATACAGGTGATGAAAGTGTCTTGAGCTAACTCTGATCTCTACAAAAACCAAGGTACCAGTCTGATAAAATGCAATGAAATTAAGTTAGTTTATGTACTGATAAGACATGTATTCTTATCATGCACAAAAACAATTAAGCATGCTTTACATAAACCAGGACAGACAAAAAAGCAGCATGAAATATTAAACGAGGCAGGATAAATAAAAACCCGTTACATAATGCAGGGCATTGAACTTTTTTTGTCATGAAATGAAAGAACTTCAAAGAAGGAAATCTATTATCACAGAAAACATTTTAAATGCTCAGACACGCAAAGGAATATAAGTTAAAATCACCAAGCACAATTCCAGCATATTTCCAGTGGCATATTCAAACCTAGTTATCCAGCACCCTGCAGACCTGAGACACATTCCAGATCTGCAGTTAGCCGGACGTTTGTCTCTAGTATTACAGTCTGTTCCGGACTATAGACAGGCAGTTCTCAATAATGGCGTTTACAAGCACGTGAAAAAAAACGAGGAAAAAAAAGAAAAAGCATTCAGGCTTCAGCTGGAGCTGCACCACACAGCTGGAAACAGAAAGAGAGAAAGAAAGAGAGAGGTCGCATGAAAACATTTCAAGCACCCAGCAGGCAGCACGTGATGCAGAAATCACACTGTGGAAATTGGTGCGTTTTTTTTAGAACACGGTGAGAATAGCGATCGAGGCTCCTTGTTGTGTTGATATAAGTACTGCATCAATCAATACGTATCCAGGTCCAGCAGGTACAACAAACTCATCATCACAGCGACAAGAAATGCTCCGAACGCTTACGGCATGCCGGTAAATGGTCTATACCTCTGATATTTTGCATGGGGACGGGGTGATAGAGCTCCAGAAGATGTGTGGAGCGAGTGTTGTTTGCAATGACTCATCCCCCTGCTCTGGAGAGGCTCCAGAACGCTCCAGATTTGGTGTGAATGCAGGCACAGCAGACAACAAGTAGGGCCTCTAATGCATTCCATAGATTTACCTGGAATCCACTAAGAATTTCTGTACTGCATTTCAAATGAGGTGCAATGCTCCGAGTTCCCACACAGCAGGCCAGCAAGAAGAGCACTGAGCAGAGTCAAATCTAAAAAAAATTCAATTACGAAAATATAGATACATATAAATAATAATACAAATGATAAAAAATCTGGTTGTTTTAAAAATTACTTCTTTTTTTTTACTTCAACTTTTGCTGAAAGATGCCAAAACCATTATTTGTTTCTAGTGCTCGGATTTCCATCACAACACAGGTGACATACACTGAAGGTGAGTACTGACTGCCTAACTGTTTTGATCCAAAAGCGATCATCATCTTCAGTTAATCAAAGAAAATCTTACAGCACCCAGTTGTTAACTCAGGTGTTGACTACCAGATGTCTGTTTGAAGAGAGTGCTGAACAGAAATCAATAAATATATGGACAGCGTCCAAAAATGAGAAAAATGTACTTGTTGAGAAGTGGAACCTTGAATATGAATCTCACAGCCACAGAGATCATAATGGTTCCTTCTGAGTTATAATTACTGGCCGCATATCCCCCTGCTTTCACATGTGATCAGAGATGATTAATGGCTGCTCCCCAGGGCTCCGAGAACCAGGATTGATGGACTGTTTGACTCTTCAAATCATCAGTCTGACAAAAACAAATCTGAAGAAGGTAGTGCTTCATCAAAACCCATCAGCAGAAAGTGGATATACAGAAGTGTAAAATTCTCTGTGCGCTGAAGCATGCTTACAGCCCATGATTTCACACTGGGAGTTTCCATGCACAAGAAGGACTAATTGAACCGATGTGCATGCTTGGCCAAGCCAACTGTGACAGCTTTGAACAATAAGGTTCGCACTGGAACACAAACTAACAGGAAAAAATTGAGTTATTTTTCTTTCTTGCTATCCGAGTGTTATTTATAAATGGCGTAAGGCTCTTGCCGTTGTTGTAAATAACATGGAGTGAATATTCACACCAAATGTGAAGAAAATGTTATGTTTTTAAAAGTTAGATCTACACGGCTCATGTCTAAACTGGAAAAGGAGACTTCTGTCAAATAAAGATTATTTGACATGCTCACTGAAGTGGGAAATGTTACAAAACAATCCCGATGAGTTTGTAGTCCACAAATCCACAGGTAGAGCAATGGAATAAAATTCCAGACCATTTTTAGCCTCCTATGGAGTTATACACAAACATCCTTCAAGGTAAGGTGATAAATAGCCTGTGAGTTTCCAAAAGACCCGAGGGTGACCTGAGGATTACCTTGTTATGGTAAATTGTATTTTTATTAGATTTTATTCAATTTTAATTTGTCCTGCATTTTAATAAACAAAACTACAGTAATATGTTGCACTGGGATCTTACTGTGCATTTTTCTCACTTTTGCAAGATCAGCTTGTCTTAACTTTCGGGTCATCTTATCCCGGACTGTCATAACTGTGTCAACTTATCCTACAAGTGACAAATACCAGGGGAACCCAGTTCTGCTGACCATACTCAGAGTCAGACATATGAGAACTGGTGGCGACTGAACTTGTGTGACGCTAACTCCCCGAAGGTGTCTGGGTCAGAAGTTCTCCACACCCATTTCTTTATCTTTGCAAAGCTATTTGAATACAATTTTTATCTCATGCCCGTTCAAAAAAACTACTTCTATCTCTCATTTGTTTCACAACCTAAAAGCCTCACTGAAAATATCTGAAGTTAATATTTATGACTCCACCGCTGAGCAACATTGGTTTATATGGCTGCATGGAGAAAAACCTTAGCCCTCCCAAAAGAATGCAACTGTTTGTGTAACATTTACAAAAGATCATGGCTTTTTGTTGCTGAACAAACCAGTCGTGTTTTTCATGTGGAAGTACAAAGGAGCCATCTCACTAACAAAGTGCATAATCCATAAGTACAGCAAGCATAAAAATAGATGTATTGAAAGTGCCAGCCTTGAAGATGAGATTGATCTAATGGATTAAGAAACCTGAAGGGTTGCCAGGCAGTGCTACCTTTGTGAGCACTATTGGCGTTCAAGTCATAGATCCATGACCTTACGCTCTTTCCTTTGCCATCTGGTCCAGAAACAATCTGACTTTCACACGCACATAAATACCTGCAAAACGAGAGCCTATCGATCCTTGCTTGGACGGTGAATGCATCTAGTCAGCACTACAGCCTTTGGAAAGTGGCACGGCAAACCGTTTCCCTTGAGCAGGAGGGGCAAAAGTGGATAATGAGCTAAAGTCTGCGCCAGCGGTGCTTCAAGCAGCGGTCTCATCAGTCAAAAGATCCAAACAGGACAATTCAGCGCTCACACAAACGCGACGTTTTACAGGGGCTGCAATTTTGGTGTGCATGCAGCAGCTTCCGATTGACAGGAACCTGACCTCAGCAAGTTTAGAAGAATGCAAGGCTCATTCCTGCTAAGCAGATTACAGAATGCTTTACAGACCTTAGAAAGAAATGATTACATCAAAAAGGGCTAAGTTACAAAAAAATGCAAATAGCAACAGAACTGAAGGGTGACTAGGAACATACAGGTCTACACAAAAATGTCAACAGACATCTACTTTTATCCAATAGTTGATATTTTTCAACTGTCAGTTTTTCTGCTTGCAAGTGGATACATACAGAGTCTGAATTCTCATGGTGTCAAAGCTCTTGATAGTCACTCCTAATCACATGTGTTACTGGCAAGTTTTGTCATACACTGAGATGTATGAGTGCCACGCTTCTCTCTGGTTACACTTATCAGAGCTTTGCGTGCATTTTTCATGGGCAGCATTTCAGAGTTGGAGTTTAGATCTGAGTTATGGCCCGTGGTGGCTTTCAGAGTTTAACGCTGACGTACATTAATATAAGAGCAGATGTATCACAGTGGCTGTGAGCAGAACGTGCCTCGGCTCCTCACAGATCGGCTGCAGCCGCTGCTGCTCCAAGCTTTAATTGGATATATGCAAATCCAGAGAAACTTTAAGAGAAGAGTAAAGGGATTAAAGTGAATTAAGGAGCCAGGAGTGTGGAAACATAAGTGCCCTC